TCGTTTTCCTTCCGGATTCCATATTATAAATTAGTAAACTACGATACATAGAACTGTTCAATTTGTACCCGTATGCAACGATAAATTATTGCTAAAAGTAGTCTGAACATGTTGTTTTGAAATTCGATGGTATTTACGACCAAAATGTCAAATCGCTATAAATAGTTTAAAAATCTTCAGAATAATAAAGTTTTAGCACGTCTAAAAAAGGCTAATATAAGTATTCTGTGAAAATGTCAGATATTTACATTGTTTTGAACCGAATTACAAAAAAAAAAATTCAAAATCAAAAATAATGAAACCATTAATGCTATAAACTTTTCCAGTTTTTCCTAATTTAAAAGAAAACTACAAAGAAAATCAAAAAAAAAACTATTTCCTATTGCACCGTTTATGGGAAATTTTTCTTCGAAAAAGATGATGCGTTTGAAAATCAGATTAGATTTCTGGTAGAAAAGTCGTAAGAGAGAAAAAAGAGCACACATCATAGTAAAACCAATGCATTCGTCACTGCGCACAGAATCAGAAATAATGTTGTATTTTAAAACGTAAAACCATTATAAAAATAAAAACTTTACCGGCAATAACGTTAACGGAAGTAAAGGTTGTTTAAAAAAAAATGAAAAATCTAAACCTATTAAAACTCGAGTACCGAAACTATAGGTACTTAGTAACAACTGCGGTACCGATAAACATAATCTGGACAATCCCCGACATATAATAGGCTACGTAAACGGTTTCACTCAAGAGACAATTTCAAATCCAATTTTATATAATATTATAGGTAGATATTACATTAATGTTTCGCTGTAAAATTATTACATTTTTCCGTCTCCCGTAAATAAAATATGTATACTTCATTAGTTGGTAAATATTAGATGTGCAAATCATACACGACAGCAACAAACAAAAAATACCCCGTAAAACGGAAATCCGAATAAATTATATTAAAATATTTTACTTGAAAATAGAATTACAATTTATTTTATGTAGACTACCTATATTATATTATTATGGAGTAAATTTCGGATAGCACTAAATATTTCGGCCGGGAATGAACGTGGATTTGAATTCCATTTTCGGGAGATGATGGAGATAACGAAATACACACTTAAGGATAAATTTCAAATTTTTAACATTTTCGGTGAGTATGGGCACAGCGCCTATACAGCGCAGTACAAATGATTTTAATGATAAGCAAAAGTGGCAAAAGGTCGCCGTCATACAAAAATTTATCAACTGTAAATAATAATTGTTATAACTTGTTTCGGTAATAATATCAACATAATAAATACGAGAAAAATCAAAAAACCTTTTCGTCCGGTGCAGTGACGAAACAAATGGGAGTAATTTAGGTATCTAGACACTCCTCTTGCATTCCCTAACATGTTGACAGTTACGACAATTATATGAGATTTGTAAGTATATTTTATTCGTTTTTCAGTTATTCGGCGAAAATTCGAAATGATATTCTACAAACGTATTTTTTCCCCCTAGTAATTGCTAAGCAGAGTCAGCATATTCATAAATATTTTACAAAAGGTGTTAGATTCTGAGTGCAACGAATAATATATTGGTTTTACAAAGATGTTAATTTCTTTTCTTTTTTTTTGTTTGAACACTTTTTCTACCGGAAAGCTTACTCCGATGTATACGATGTACATCTTTTTCTGAAAAGAGATTTTCTTGGGGTGGTACTTTTAGGAGGTCATTTTTTGATTTTATTGACAGTTTTGCCAATAAAAGGGGAAAAGTGAGAAAAAACGGGAAAATGTATAAAATATATTAGTAAAATACTATGAATCTTTTTTTCATGTGGACAAATTTTCTACCAGCGATTTTGCTCCAATTTAAAATTATAGCACTTTTTCTGAAAGGAAATCTGATTGGGAAGGTACTCTAGGGAGGTCATTTTCCGATTTTCTTAATAGCCTTTTCAGTAGATGTGAAAAACTAGGAAAAACACGGGAAAACTGGGGAAAACGTAGAAAAAACATTTAAATCGGTACAATATTAAACAAATATTATTAAAGAAAATATATAAAGCCTATTTAATTATTTTACTATAAAATGACATATATATTGTTAACAAAGCATCATGATCAATTGAACTTCGCTCAGAATCGTTTTCAGTAAGCAATGGTTCACCGATGCTTACAGATGTAATTTAATTTTCCCTCTATATCATACTTTCACAACTAACTCACCAGCAGCAGTAACTGCACCCATCATGCGAAGTATGTTCGTCTTTTTTTATTCGTGTTTATAATTTAATTTATAAATAAGCGGTCTGCACCACTTATTGTCTCAATATAATATACATATAATTATTAGAAAATTAAAAGAGTATTTGATTCGTATAAATATGTAGGGTGATAAATACCTAGGTAGGGTTATACCCGTTTCCATCAAAAAAGTTTGGAAACCAATGATTTAAATTTTTATTGGTACAACGTATAACATCTAGTTTAATCTAGTTTAATTGTAACAATTCAATATCGTTTATTCGATAGTTTAATAATAATATAAAAATATTACGATGAGTAAAAAAATATTAAAGAAATTAAAAACTACCGTAGAAGCAAGTATATAAAAAAAAAATCTAATGGAATCAGTAAGTAAACTTTTGTTAAAACGGTTTCATTTAATTATCTGATTATTTAAACTTTTACTACCTATATTAATATTATAAATATTGACTGTAACGACTTATATTATTATTACCTAACCCTAACGATTTATTGTTATTACTCGTATTAGATATTATTTTACTACGATCTTTTGAAATATTTAAAGATAATGGATATTTATGCGATTTTTTTAAAAAACTAATTTAATTGTTATATTATTGACTTATTCACTGTAATTAATTATATTATTATTACTATAAGGTATTTCTTAGGTTCAGGGCCGGATCTTTTAACACCCGGGCAAAAAGAAAAGGTTACGCCCATTTCAGAGAAATTACCGGTTAGTATTTTTTTTTTTACGAAAAATCAAGCACACTTACACAATAGTGTTGCCAACTATTTATAAAATCACTCGCAATATACAAAAAAAATAAATTATTTACGACAGATTTAATTTTTAACTTATAAATCAAAAATTTTAAATTTTATACTAAAGAAGTAATAGTTTTAGAAGCACTCCTTAATGGTGTATCAAAATATAAACTCTGTGGTCAGTATTTCTAAGAGTTTCAAATTTAGAAAAATAATTATTGGTAATAATAATATGTGTGAATTATTAATTAACAAATCTAAACTATATGATTCTTATTTTTAATATAAAACGTTTCATGTAAATAAACAATATTTATACAATTTAAATATTCGTTACAGTCAAAACGTATAGTATCTAAGTACAGAAAAGGTTCAATGAAACAAAAATATAACTAGATACCGAAAATCGTAAGATAATTAATTAATACGTATAGTTTAAATGTATATATTCAAATATCCTAATTCTACATTCTAAATTTTCTAAATAACAAAAGGAAAATTTTAATATTTAAAACTTTATTTTTCTGGCTTTGATCTCGAAAAAATTATCAATAACTGAATTGAAATCAACCGTCTTTGTGATCTCATCAAATGAAAAAGACCGAAAAAAAGGGTTGAAAAACAGGAATATGTATGGAATATATTAATTAAATACTACGCCGTTTTTTTTTGTATTTTGGACAACTTTTCTACTAGAAATCTCCGATTTTTAAGTGTAGCGTCTTTTTTGAAAAGAAATTGGTGTGGGGAGGTACTTAAGAGAAGTCATTTTTCGATTTAACATAACAGAAACTTTTATTACATAACTATTCTGTTTTTAAGTTTTTTTTTCATCCAAATATTAAGAAAAATACAAGGTAAATTAAAATTGACCTCCCTAAATGAACCAACAAAAACCTAGGGAAAAACGGGAAAATTGGTACATAAAACAAATATATAACGCCTATTTAATTATTTACCATAATATGACATAAATATTGTTGACAAAGCATCACTATCAACTGAACTCCACTCAGAATCGTTTAAATACATTGAATTACCTATAACAGTGGCTGCACCCGTCCCCATTATCCTAGGACACCTTTTTTCAATTTAAAATTACATAACAGCGAATTACAATTAATGTTGCCATTTGTAGGATAAAATTTTAAATAACATAATTTATCATATATCATAATCAGCATAATTTATAAATAATTTTTACATTGCCTACCTATATTAACGAAAACGAAATCACAAACCATAATTTATCATTGCCATTTATCACTAATTGGATAGTGAAATTAAAAACTGACAAATATTTTACCCCCATCCATTGACAAATGCATGCATATAATTCCGGTATTGAATAGTATTTGTTATTATTAATAACAAATACTATTCACAAATTTGTCTAACATAAACTATAGACAGCATGATCCGTTTAATCAACCCGTAGGTATAGCCGGGATACAGTAGTACCTATCGTTAATTTTGTTTTTACTAACCTTAGTACCAACTAATGACGATAGCATTGACGGGTTTTAACTGTTGCAGTGTCAAAATGAAAATGGAATGTAGTAGAAACTTATTTTTATAAACTACTTATTGTTACTATATAGGATATGCGCCGTGTGATAAATTTCACTTGAAATGTTGAAAGAATCGAAACGGGAATACGATTTAACACGGACATGTACACACACACACACACACACACACGAATATTATAATGTTAGTAAATTTCAATAACATTTTAATTTCCCATTTATTTGAATAAATATTTTATTATTAGAACGACAAACAATTATTGCGCAGGCGCAATAAGCTTCCCCTTGCACACATTATCAATCCCGCCGACAATGGCGGATGGGTTTTCCGCTCCGCGTCGAAGTGCACCTATCAGTACATATTAAATTAATGCTATTATGGTTTAAAATAAAATAACACATTATTATTATATATACATTATTCGGAATCACAAGTAATATCGAAAATACATTTTTTTTTAAATATTATTATGTGCTTATGACATATTTTAAATTCCATTATCGATTTAATCAGAGTTTATAAAACCTTGAAAAAATAGGCCCTGGAAATTTATACGCCGGGGAAGAAATCCCCGCCTTCCACCCCTACATCCGGTCTTGCTTAGGTTCGTGGTTCCTAAACAATATTTTTTGAAAACGGGAAAAGTACATAAGTTTTTAGCAGTATAGAGCTATGCCCCCTAACGTTTTCGAACAGACGTCATCATGGTGAGGTTTATATAAAAAAGATTTTAGAGGCAAATGAATGAATATATTTTAATGTTTAATGAATATCGTGATTCTGTACTGATATTTATTTGCCATATTAAAAAATTGATGCTTATTCATACATATTATCGTTTTAATTCTATAGTTACAATAGTAATATTATAATGACTATAAACTAGAAAAATATTTAAATAACACATGTTAGTTCAATGTTAATTTTGCTTTTTCATGTTAATGTCACGGGTATGGATCAAATGCGACAAAAATCTAATAGAAAAACTTAATTATTGTTAGAAAAATGTGTATTTACATTAAATGGACCATTCTATTTATAAATATTTTAAAAATTATGCATGGGTTCCCGCAGTAATCTCCGAATAAAGGGGTCAATTTTTTACACTAAACAATACAAAAATATAATATAATAAAACAATACATACATATTATAAGTTGGCTAATAAAATATTAATTTTAATTTTAAGCTAATGTATTTGTTTTACCATGATGTATGCTCTTTTTCTGTCTGTAAACAATTTTCTACCAGATATCTTGCTCCAATCATGGATCTTTGGTAGTAAATTTTGTTGGTGCATTTAGGTAGGTCAATTTTAATTTACCTTGTATTTTTCTTAATATTTGGATGAAAAAAAACTTAAAAACAGAATAGTTATGTAATAAAAGTTTCTGTTATGTTTGCTTTTGTATTTTTTTTTTTTCATTACTATTCAGTTTAAAATAATTGTAGTGATCTGAAATTATCACCGAATACTTACATTCAATTGAATTACCCTATAAACACATGACCGATGTATTTTCCAAACCATTCTAACGATGTTATGTTATTTATGGTTACTTGAAATTTTCCAGTGTTTTTAGTTTTTATTTAGTTTAATGTACGTAAACACAATTTTTTTTTCGGCTAGTCAACCTGATACAAGCTTCATCATTAGTTATTCTCGGTGGTGCAGAGTAAATCTGTCAAAGGGTGACTATCCTTTTTTTAAAATAGTGAGTGGGTTGATCTTGTAAATCTATAGGAGTTGTTGGGTTGGATAAATGAAGCTCAGTAGTTGGCTTGGTGGATTATCTACAATGGTAGAAGTAATTAGTTGCTGTTTTAGTTTGAATGAGTTTGGCTTATTAGTTGTTAGTTACAAGTATATAAAACTATTTCGTATCAACATGATAGGTTAAATCCCTTGATAAATGATAATATCATAAGATTTAAACGTAATGAATAATAGACGCCAATATTATTCTGAATGAAAATCCCATCTATTTATTAACCGTTGCCTAGAGATATGAAATCGGTAAATTTACCGGTAAGATAAATGTACAAGCCTACATTTTACTGATGGTTTTTTTTTTTTACCGGCGTCTCCTATAGGTACTTACGATTTCTGTAAATTACAAAAATTTAAATTATACTGTTATCCGTTATTATTAAAATATTAGTGTGTTTGTTTAACGTAATTGTAAGGTGTATTTGAGTTGTTTGTTCCATGCGTTTTTCCCGAGCACGGATTACACTGACAAGCTTCCAAGAAAATCTCGGCCGGCCGTGCAAAATCATAATGTCTTTAATTAAATTCGTATCGTTTTAATCTATTTTTTTTTTTTTTTTTTTTATAATTCTTAGTCGATACGGAATTATTTCATTATTTCATTATCTACTTATATACTTATTTAAGCACAGTAAGGGTAAAAATAAAAAATGGTTTTAAAATAAAACTTAAACAATTTCACAATGATTAAAAAAACAAAAATCAAATTCACTTAAAAAACTCGAGAGATAATTGCTGGTTCATAATTAAAAATCACTGTGTAATAATTTATTTGTAGGTCCAATTATATATATATATATTTATGTATATTTTTTTATTAATGAGTACACCATATAAAAAGTTTAATGACTCAAAATTCTCTGTGTATTGTACAGCTGTTCTATTAAAGCTGTACTCGATCATTCTAATTTTAAAGTTGGCACTATGTTAAGAATAATTAAACACCTAGGTATAGTAACTTTAAACTTACCTTTGTTAAGAAAAAGTCCTATAAACGTATGACACAGCAATTTGCGTTCAGTAGGACGAATTTTGTACCGTTAGTAATAATATTAGAGTGAATTGACTATTACTAAATTATAATTAAAGGTAAGAACATTATCTATGTTCTTGCATCAATTTTTTTCAATATTTAAATTTTTAAATAAGATATGAATATGGAAGTATTATAGTTTAAAAATACGTATGTATCGCTTAAAAATTAAAATACCAAAAAAAAATATCGAAGTAATTTTACAAATATTGTTCTTACCCTTAAGTTTGATAATAGGTGAACTTTCACCACCGCAAAATTTTCCCTAATTTTCTATATCGTACGTTTGTAAGACGTAGACGGTAGATAGGTCCTCTTCTTAAGTAACGTATTAAATAAATTGCTACACGTTGACAATTAGGTACTTTTAACTTCCGAACGGAGAGAATAATCTATTTTAAAACGACGGTTATTTTTCATCGTTCGGTTTAAACTTTTTAGTGTAGTAATATTGTCGCATAGGTACCGTCATTATTAATGGTATAAGTAGTTATACTATACTGCAACTTAAAACGGAAATGTCAGCTGTTTTCAAATTTCCTACTTGAGCGTCCTGAACAATTTTAACACTTAAAAAAAAAAGCGAAGATATAATACTTAATAATTAATGTCGGCAAACTGTAGTAGAACATTTCAATTTTGAGCTCGACTCTAAAATAATTTTCAAACGCGAGATAATTATTGCCGCGTTCTAATTGAAACAAACAAAATGAATGTACGCCCACCATAAATTCTATACGCTGAAATGAACGTAAAACGTGACGGAGTCGGCCACAACACCAGCAGCTGGTTCGCTTTTCTCACCCATTTAAAATTGAAACCATTGTATTTGTTTTGGTATTACGGGGTGGTAGATATTTTTTTCTTCAAGCCTTCACAAGGTCATTCGATTCGTTAGCGCTTCCGATGAATAGTTGAAACTTAGCATATAAGTATAGGTATAGTATATTTACTTTTTGATATTTTTTAATATATGTAAATGTAAAATACGATTTTTTCGGAAAAATAAAATCTCTAGATTATTTTTAAAATAGAGAATATTTCCATTTTCGTGATCGTTTTTCCTATATGGTAATAATAAGAAGTATGAATTAGGTTAAGGTTAAGAATATCAAATACACCAATGGAAACTCAAGAATATTTGTATTTTTGAAACGCACCAAGGAATGTATTTGTTTTAAAATGATGCGTGTATCGTGTGTTTTTTTTTTTTTTTTAAATGAAAGCAACCTTTTTACCGGAAATCTTGTTCGATTTTTTTATGTGGAACGTCTGAAAGACAATTTTGTTTAGTTGGTGTATTAATGTAATTTTTTTATTTTTCTTATAGTTTTTTAGTAAATGAGAAAAACCTATAAGAAAAACTAGAAAAAATACGTTTTGTTTTTATTTAAATCAATAAAAAAAAATGTAGAAAATAGAAATTTTCAAAGAATATTTATACGAATGTTTTCAGGATATGGTACAATTTTCAAAACATACTAGTGATTCTTGACCTATTTAAAGGTGTTTGCCATTTTCGAGGTTTATAAAACAGAGCGATTTTATATTATACCATAAAATCTATAACAATTAAAAACAATTGAATAGAATTTATACCGATTTTCCTGATAGAAGCTTTTTATCGTGTACAGTTTTTTAGAATCCATATTGTTCTTAAAACCAAAACACCATAATAATCCTTGATATGAGAGTATTATTCTCTCAGGTTATAATTAACGTGTGAATATTCTCTGCTCACACCGCTGTATACTTACTTGACTTCGCAATAATAGTATAATACGGTCTATAATCAAATTACGACACCTATAATTTTACCCTCATACGAATACTTGTGCGCACTCGAATTTCACAACTACAGCTGTATAAAGTTGGAAATTCCAGGCACATGATATATTATATTCTTAGCTCTGGTAATCGTGTAATTTGATGAAATTCAAACCCACGATTATGGTATAGTGACCAGTGGTTCCGACTTGTGACAGCTGTATATTTTCCACGTGTAGAAGTGAAAAGTCTGATCGATTTAAAATATTTAGCGAGACCTTTGTTTTATCGTTAGAGTATACAATTTATTTTAATATAGAAAAACTGTAATAATTAATACAACCTTTCCGAGAGATGTGCTTTGAAATGGATTTTTTAAATTTATTAAAAATATTAATGTTTGGGTTTTTTTTCTCTTTTTATAATTCTGTTTTTAATAATACATTATTGGGTTTTTTTTCTATAACAGGATAAAAATAAAGTACGCGTTATAGAATTTGAAAATATATTATATTAATACCGTCAAAACTAATATATTTTTCTACGTGGGTTTGATTCTTTACAGAGAAAACTGTTTACAATAAACAATCGGCCAACTTTTTGAATCGTTTTGTTTTTTAAAATAAATTTTTGTGTTTACGTTTTTAATTTCTTTTTCTTTTTTTATATTTCCTATGAAAATCATAATTTATAACATTTTATAATAATTCTACTTGTTTTTCTTAAAACGATTACCCCGTATTTTATATTTTATATTGCAAAACTGAATGTATACAAATTATAGGATATTTTTAAATTCTACGAAATTATGCATAGTGCATTTATCTCATTGATGAACCATTAAAAGCGCATGATAAAACATAATTTCCTATTTTTTAAAATTTTTATCTTATTTTACCCTTTCATGAGTCATTGCAATTACCCAATTTTTAAGAGCCCATAACTGATTGATAACAATAGTAATAATAATAAATAATAATTTGTAATTTTTTTTACACCGAAAAAACGAATTTTCTACGAGAAGGCTTGCAGGTCAGCAAGATGAACAAAGAAGTCGAGTTTATCATCGTAATAATATATCTATGGCTTAAGATATTTAAGACAATAATAAACTATAGATATTTTTATGTTATGTACTCGTAGAAGACGACGAGGAACAGCTTCGATTATCATCAAAAATTATTAAGGTATTCTGATTTACATAATTTGCAGGTCTAATAGTATTTTATAAATTAGTGAAAATCGAACACGAACAAAATTATACGGGGAAATATACCGGAATACCAGATAATCTGATAATATATTAAAAATCCAATGTAAGTGTATGAAAGTGTATACATAAGGAGTAAACGAGCATAGTGTGGGCGGGTCGAGTATATGGAAATCTAAAGGCATAAGTAAACAAGTAACAATGGGTAACATCAACGGAGAAGTAAACCTAGAGAGGTCGCCTCTGCACACAGCGATGGATGCAAACAGTGAAAACCGACCTTGAGAAATGCAGTGCATGAGGAACGAGCCGGGAAGAAAGTGAAAGTAGGGAAATACGGCGTGCGAAGGGGTGAAAACAGCGAAGGCCTTAAATGCGTTATATTATGTTAAAGTTGAAGAAGTAGAATATAATATAGTATTATATTTTATAGTTGTCGTACAGCGAGTTCAGAAAACAACGAACGTCTTGTGTTAGAATTACGGATGAAACCAACATATTAGTATTGTTACGACATATTCGCGCGGTGTAAACATGTGTAACTCAACCGCCAAATGTAATTAAAAATGTTTGAAATTATTAAAATTAATCTATGTAAGTATATATAAGTAGATGGTTCGAGTAACCGAGGTCGTTGCGTGCCTTGATTTGCTTAAATACAGATGTTTTTTTTTTTTTTTTTTTTTTTTTTTTTTTAAAAACACTGGTATTGGATTAAAAATCTTATTTTTCTCAATGTGATATAATTAATATAAAGAATTATTATGACTCATAATTTGGGCACGTATTTATATGCTCTAAAAACTTTATATATGCATAATGTATATACAGATACGCAATTAAAATACCTAACTATGACCATAAAATATTTTCTAAAATAATAATGATAAAAATTATGTTGAAATTGTCTTCAAAATGTACAAAACTCAAAATGCAAATAGATATATATGAATTATTAATCCAAAAACAATAAACTATGAAAAATTAAATTCATATATATTCA